TTTGTATCTCTCAATACTGTCAGTATTATACACTATGTGTACTGCCTCAGTCAACCGGTATTATTGTGTAGCGGTTAGGCAGAAAATACCCGTTCAATTGCCGAGAGGGGAGTTTTATCGAGTATCTCGGGCTTTCTGCTGGGATATTGTATCTGTTCAGGTTAGCCCTGACTGGAAGGGTCGGACGCCTGTCTCTTTAATTATCGAAATTTTGTCGACGTGGGCTTAAAATCACTTACGTTTTTTGTTCATATCCTCAGAAAGCTGCCCCTCCCCTCACTACCATCACTCTCAGCTGATCCAAAATGTCCCATCCAACCATGACCCGGAAAGACAACCTAATGGTTTGGGGCGGTATCTACATGCCTCGCGTCCTTGGTAACATGGCCGTCATCGCCGTCAGCAGCCTCCCACCACGTGACAGGAACTCGTTCAACCCCAATCTCATGTACCTCGCCATCCTAGCAGTGGTCCTAAACATTCTCTCTATCGCAGCCTGGGTGAACCCTCGAAGCATCTCATCCCTATTTGGCGCCAAATCTGGAGGTATAGTAAACAGCACCTTTCTTTTCCTGGCTTCTCTCGCTGTGCTGCTGGCGCAAACAGGCTTGGTGTGGACATCATCAAACCTGTATTCTGAACTGACCCTGTTCGTGTTGCTTAGCACATTCTTCATGGAAGTGCTTCACGTTTATGTCGTCCCAAGCGACTGGAAGTTTGAGCCGTATCTCCAGGATATCGTCTGGCAGAATTTTTACATTCTCTTCGTTTTCCTCATGGACTGTTTCTACATGTGCTTCATCTCTCATCTATTCACTCAGGGATATGTGGTTCACGTATGGCACCGAAAGTGATGTCACAGTGTCTTCTGCTAGGTAGCCTATCTCGTATTATTCATTTCATTGGCTCTTACTTAAAACAACTCATATTATATTATTATGTATTTAGATATGTTTGAAATTGAATCATTATTAGATATAACAGAGGAGAAAAGATTCATTTACAGTATTAAGAAGTCTATTACTTTTGTAATAAATGAATTGGGTTTATGGTTACCAAAAGGAATCTAGGATTATTTTCTACTGACATTAATAGTACTTTTCAATATACTAGCCTACCGTTGTGGGGGAAAATTGGAAGGAAAATAAGAAGATACGGAAACAGCTTTAAAAAAATTAATTACTTTGTAAAGTAGGCTAAAACATTACTTAACCGTTATGGTGATGAACATAGACTTTCTTCTCTTTTCTGTGCGTGTTTAGGCTCTGCCTGAATATTGGTATCTTAAATTAAGGTTAGTAGCTATTTTGAAAGAGAAAAAACAAAACACAAAAAACCCACATCTTATACCGGACTCAGTACTTACATGATTATGGGCCCAGAACAAAACATCTAAAACATTGCCAAAGAATTGGATAGAACTGGGTGCATTTAAAAAATGGTAAAAAAAGCAGGAAAGTGCGAAAACAATCTTTTCTTGATTCAAAGGAAAGTACTGAAGGTGCAAGCAATGTGTACAATTCAAGGGTACGGTACTGAAATATCCGCACAATCTGGTTACATCCATCAAACCTGTACATTCCTGGAATTCCTGAAATCGTCTTGTCAGAACATATTATTATATTATGCCGTACATAATGAGAATAGGCGCCGTTATTGTTAGAGATTGGAAAATTTTGAGCGAGTCCAGGGGCATACCTGATCAAATACTTTAAATGCTTTTGTGTGTGTGTGTGTGTGTG